AGACTTTATGCATTAATCTTAAAAGTTCTATTGAATCTTAAGGTTTTGCAACAATAAACTGAAACACCCTGTGCTCATTACTGTTGTTGGGAACACTTTCAATCTAGTTCCTATGTTTAACAAAGTATCATGTGTAGCCATAGTATACCACAAGAATATTAAAACATAGCAATTTAACTCACTGGATGATGTCCACCTGTATACGGTTTTGCTAATATCTTTTTTCATCATTTCTGCTAAATCAATAAATGTTTTCTTTGACATGCGGAAAACTTTAGAGAATTGAAAGTTATCATAGCTACAAAACCATGGTTCCATCATTAAAAAAATTTTTCTGAAAAAAAAACATTTCTCCCATGAATATTATGAAAGGTTTCTTATTTGAACTTTCCATACACCGTTGTAGACAAAAAGCACCGATTATCAAGTGATAATAAACATAATTTGAGATTATATACGCACTTTTCTAAAATAAACAACTTGCAACAAAACCGCGGTTAAAACCAACGCGCTCAAGCGGTTCTTGTAACTGACGTCATCAACCCGTGTGTCTTCTTGAACCATATTATAACCGCATCACATAACACAGAAATTTTGGTTATTCGCTTGGATTTATAGTGCTTTAGCGCGCGATTTCCACCGCGACATGTCCTCTATACGAGCAATCGGAGGGTTATAGGATCATCCCATCAAACCAAATTTAGCTTAAGATAATATCTTATGGAGCAAAACGATGACATTATTTTCAGATCAGCAAATACTTCTGGAATAGGGAACGTTCCAAATATTGCTAGTGAAAGCGTAAATGGTATTTCGCGCCTTGATGTATTCGAAAACGATGTTGATGAGTCTGAACTTGTAGCTGGATAAATGTTTGTGATCTTAAATGAGCCGAATGATGATGAACAATCTGAAGAACTGAAGTGGGATGGCTTTTTGAAGACTTATCAGGGTTTATTGCATGTGAATTAGAGAAAAAAGAAAATCTGGGTAAACCATATCTCCGAAGGTGACCTACTAAAGACAAACCCAGATTTTCTAATCGAATGTAATGATCGACCATATATTCAAAATTTCAAATTTCATAATTATTTAGCCACGCCAGTTTGTATTTGAAAATCCAGATGTTAAATGGAGATATAAAAGAAAAATAAACTCAATTAAACTGTTTATCAATACAAGATACTTTCATTAATAGCTACGCATGAAAAAGATTAAAAAAACATTTACACATAATATTCGATACAAAATTATAAGGATGTCATACATACTTTAATCCTGTTCTCCACTTATGGCTTCTAATCTAAAACCTACGTAAAACCTTTTGGAGTCCCTCAGGGCTCTAACCTGGCACTATTATTGTTTCTAGTTTTTATTTATGACCTGTGTGAGTCAGTAGAATGTGAACGCATGTGCTTTGCTGATAACTTGAAGATTTATTCAAGAGATTGGCGATTGTATTCAATTCAATTCAATTCTTTATTTGTGTTAAGTACACCAGCGTTTTTACACAAGTCAAAAGAAAAAAAAATAATACAAAAAGCAGTTTGACAAAAGACTGATGTTCAAATTAAACAGAAAAACATCAACTCATGACATTATCATTCAATAAAAGCAGATACAGCAAGTCCATATAAGTTGTAAAAACAGGAGGACATATATACGTACATAGAGACACACATATTCATAGAAACACAATACGTATGTTTACTTATACATATATACACATACAGTATGGGAAAAACCATTATTATACATTATGATGAGGAAGAGAGATGGAAATATACAAAAGTATGTAGGTGCGTGAAAGACACTCGATTGTAGGATCTTATCTGGCAGCGTCGCAGTGTGACGGACAACGGGGTAAAGTAGAAGAGTGATAAAAGAGAGAGATGGCAGAACGGGCGCTGGCGCCTACCGCTTAGACGGATGCGCTCAACAAATGCGATTTGTTTCTCCCATGCGCAGAGTTGCCGATACCAATATGTCATATTTCTAAGAAATCTAAGTCTACCCAAATTTCGGGAAAAATAGCTGCGGATTCCACATAAGAGTATTCCAAAAATGAAAAAAGTTCAAACTATTAAAATTGTATTAATGTTTCATGGTTCAAATCATATTTTTCATGTTTGTATATTGTTGTATAAATGATTTTGTAATCCCTATTCTTGTTGCCAGTAGAGATACAACAATATTGAGAGAAATCATGGACCGCTAGATAGGGCTACAACTACCATATGACTATCAAATAGTAGTGATAAACAGGGTTTGTTTATAGCACAGTTGCCTGGTGTGGCGAATTTGCGCCATAGGGGCGATTTGACAACTTTGAAGGACAACTATAACGGTTACTATGGTGCCCGGTATTCGGGAATCTGGCAAAACCTGATGATTCCTAACGTTTATTACGCCAGATTGTTTGCTGACTTGCGCAGTACAACATGACAATCAACGTGACTGAGCACCTGGTAACCCTGGTTTAAGGTGTTATATCTAAAGAGCTTGGGGCAGTTAGGTATCTAGGTCACATTTTTTAATGTATTTCGAGAAATCCGTAATGTTGAGTAAATACTAGATCACGTTTCTTGCTTAGTTTGCTGAAAATTCTACAATAGACGTACATTTTGAGAAACAGAGATTTGGTGACGACAAAATCGTAAAAATATAACGCATTTTCGTAAAATAATTTCTTTGTTGAAAAGACTGTGGCTTGATGATCCATTGAACGAGTATAGTGTCCCGCTCCGCTTTGAATATTCGAAACACTATACTCCAGCAGCATTCAGCTTCAATGTTATCTTTATGAAGTTCTAACGTCTAGGCCATGCTGATTAAAAGCTTGAATGAATCAACACTTAACTCTAAATGCCCCACAATTCGGGAAGCTCTACTCAAATTGGCAACACAGCGTATCTGCCTATTATTCTCATTCGTGATACAGGTCTGCGGTTAACGGTAGGAAATATGTACGAAGAGCGATGAAAGTAGACGAGCCGATGCGCTGTTGCCAAGAAATGATTTCCCATGTATAACAATGGTTTTTCCTAAGGTGTATACACATATATACGTTAAAATGGTAAGACATATGAAATGTTGTTATAAAAATTTACCAGATGACATAGTAGTAAAGTTCAAGAAGCCTAGAGTGTAGGAACACTGTTATATTTGCTAACAATCCAACAAGTCTGAAAAATTATTGCTCAAATACTCGTTGATCGAGTAAAATGCTTTAGTAGTCAGATAAGCATTAATTTTATTTTTAAAAACTTTCGCATCCAGTTTCTTTATACGATCTGGCAACAGGTTATAAAAAACTATCCCATAATAGTTTGTGCCGTGCCTGATGGTTTGGAGACGGCTATGAGATTTTATCCATATTTCTGGTTCTATAACTGTGGACATCACTGTGGGTAATATATTGGCTCAGGTTAGTCTTTATATACATCAGATATTAAACGGCAATCTCAATTAAACTTTGTACAGTCTTGGTGTATTAATAAAAAGTTACAGCTTAATGTAAAAAGTGTAAAATAGTCACTTACACCAGGAAAAAGATTATTTGTGAGTATCCACATTTTATTGATGCTCCGATGAACGGGACCTAGTTATTATATTTCATCAAAAGCTCAATTGTGGTGTATGGCTTCATAGTAAGGAACTGCAGAACTTTTAATAGATCATTTCATATTCCAACATTGCATATACCAATCATATGATCTTCAGGCGTCCTAGGGCAATGATTATTATTGACTTAAGTAACCATATGTGCACTAACAGAACCGGATGGTACTGTGATATATTTTCCATTAATGTCAATTGCTTGCTTAAGACAGCTAATACTGTGAATGATGATACCTATTCATAGCTGTTTATATTCTTGGTGAAGGTCAATTATCATGCATTATCTCTTTTACCATCGCTCCTTCAATATGTTTATTCATTCTCCTATAAACTTGAGGACAATAAACTTGTTTTTATTATTATCATTATTATTGTTATTCTTTTTTGTATAAAAAGACAATATAACAAACTAATATATGTCACTGATGCACAAATGTATTATTTGAAACCAATTTACTTCAATAGAAAAGTAAGACCGTTAATTTGGAGCTCAAAAGAAATTTCAGTTTGAAAAGCTACAAGTACATTTTGAATTTTATATAAGTATAATGATATACTTCATTGAGTTGTATATGTATATATATATATATATATAAACAAAACATTCTATATAATACTAAAATTATAACGTAAAATCGATAACAGAAAAGGGTAGGCATGTCATCTACAACTTGATCATTACCGGTTTGTTTTGATGGACGCGGATCAATTAAGTTCAATCCTACTGCAGCTTCAGGACTCACATGCCGTAGTGGCTCCACTTTCTCACGTGCATATGTAGGTGGAGTAGCTGCGGAATCAGCCACAGAAAAAAATAATGATCCGGCATAGCATTTGGGTCCAATGGATAAATTCCAGTGACTTTAAACCCATTGATAGCATTAGCTAAACAAGCTGCTTTCATCCACGCTTTTCCAATAACTTCTCCAGCCTGGTATCTCGTGAAATTTCTATTATTGTCGTGTTTCATCCATAGGTGAGATTCTTGATTAAAATTAACTTTAAGTGGACGAAAGAAACTCCTGTCAAGTAGTTGGAGAGCCTGTGAACAGTGACTGGGCAGACAAAGGATAATAATGTCGTTCTCATCCGCTATCTGAAGCATTTCTATATTTGTGCTGTGAGACGTGTGACCGTCAAGAATTAACACTCACTTACCGACTGGTTTATGTGGTATGCATTGCTCCACCAACAGCTGAACGAAGAGCTCCGAATTAATGAAGGAAGACTTTCTGTTTATGTACACCTTAGATCCAGGGGGCAAGCCATCTGAAAGCTCTGGTTTTCTGTTAACCCCTTTAAAAATAAGAACTGGATGAATAAACGTGCCATCTGCACTGCAACAAGCACTGTGACATTCTCTCCGCGTTCTTTCGACGTTAATACATGTACATCTTTGCTACCTTTCTTGTTACAACTTTACTAGGTTTATTTAGGAGTTGTACGCCTGTTTCATCCATGCTAAATATACAAGAAGGCTTTTCCATTAGACCATTTTTTGTTAAAGCTTCATCCAGCAACTCAAAGAACCTTCTAGCGTCCTCTCGATTCATTCCCTGGGCCCTTGACAACGATAGGCCCTCAGCTTGCCTTACGGACAATTCAGGATTTCTGTCCAAGAATGAATGAAGCCATGCAAATAGTGCCTTTTCTGTTGCAGCTGAAAATGGGTGTTTTATCCCTAGCTTTTCAGCAAATCTAAACGCAAGTGTTCTAACTGTGCTTCTGTCTGGAGCAGAGCCAACGACTGACAAACGATGAGTGTGCGCAACTAGTCTTGTTTCATTGACCCTGCCCAAAATTCCTAAAACACACAAATGCTCATGATTTATTACAAAATTATTTTCTAAGAAATACCTTCTGGGCCAAGGGCACCCTTCTTGAAATTGCCACATGTTATTCTCCTTTTTGTGATTCGAGGGGGTACATTATAGCGCCTGTGTGCCACCCTTTTAGATATTTCTCCTGTCTGTACTTTTGCTACAACCTCCATTAGTTGCTCATCCGACCAGGTGGTCCTTGGTCGAGCTGTATTTGTTCGTATGTACTTACGAGGCATGATTTATAGACAAAAAAATAAAAAAATTATTGTTACACTTTTCCCAAATTAAAGCTTTTTTCGTTTTTTCAATTATTGTTATAACATTTTTTTCATTAAAAGCGTCAGAAGTGCAAAAGTCATGTGATAACGAATGCGGCTTCTCTCCCGATAACAAAAGCGGCGACTATCCTTTTTGTGGGGATAGACGCCGCACCTGCCGTCTGTTAGAAGTGTTAACGAAATTAACCTAACCTTTACACAGCAACCTCCATACTGAGCTACAGTCCTAACAAAACCCATGACGGCACTCTTGTACTACGCGTAAGATTTGTAATACACATAAACCAAATCATGCTTAAAATATTTACCACGTGTTGTGTACTTACGGTTCTTAAAATCCCAGATATTTTGTCGACTATCGCTTCGATGGCACAAATCACAAACTACCGGTCACTTTGCAGTATTCATCTACCACATATTGCGGCAACAGCTCCATCTCTGGAGCCTATGGGAAATTACAACCACCGCGGCGTCTGTCCTGCCGCGGCATCTCTCCCGCATTTACCCTATGCACTGTTTCGAAAAAAGTTGATTTCTCAAAAAAAAAATGTAATAAAAGTGCTACAGAAATCGAGATAATAAAATAATACAGTAATAGTAATACACTTACTTATAAAAGATGTTCAAAATTGTTTCCATTGACTGCAATGCAAGCTTGGGCGCGTCTAATCCAATTTCGGCGCTGTAATTCAAATTCACCTCCCTCCTGCTATTCCTGAAGGCTCAAATTATCAGCAGCCACTGTGATTCGGTCACGCAATTCTTCAATATTCTGAACTGGAGTACGGTATTCCTCGTTTTTGAAGTATCCCCATAAAAAGAAGTCCAGAGGATTTAGATAGGGAGACCATGGAGGTCATGCAATTGGTCCACCCCTTCCGATCCAGCGTACCTGGTACTCTAATTCAAAAAATCACGAACTTCTAAATGAAAATGCGGAGGTGCCCCGTCGTACAGAAACCAAATCCGTGCTCGGACCGCCAATGGCACATACTTCAAATAGACCGGCAAATCATTCGAAGAAATTCCAAATACTGGTGACCATCCATCCGATCTGGCAATATGGACGATCATCGACAATACCTACCTACGCGTTTAAAGAAAAACAAAGAAAAACGATGCTGGAAATGTGTCTGGACCACTCCGTCAGGCTTCTCAAAGGACCAAACGTGTGTATTATGAAGATTGGTTATTCCATTAGGAGTAAAAATAGCTTGATTTCGAGCATTTTATTGCAACAACCACTCACAAAATTTTACTCTGAGGGAGTAGTCTGTAGGTAGCTACGCCTGGACTCTCTGGACGTGATCAGGGTACAGTTGATCCTCATGTAATATGCGCCCCGCTATTGCATGTGACACTTCTGGATTTTCTTCCACAATATCCAAAACTTCGTCTTCGACATTTAAAATGCGTTGTGAGCGAACCCGACACCCATCCACTCCACGTCTGGGGCGCAAATCTCCACTAGCACGTGCACGTAAAACAATTCAACTAAATGTTTCGTGATGTGGTATGTGCCTATTCGGAAATCGGTGTGCATACCAACGAGAAGCCGATCGCGAATTTTGCCCTGTTTCTTCGTACGCAAAAACAATGTCCACTAACTCCTCAGTAGTGCACATGTGCCATTTTTTTAATAAATAGCTAAAAACAAACGCAAAATACTTTTTTATTTAACTTCTCAAAAATCGACCTTTCATCATTCGGATCACTCACGATACAGATTAAACCTTATTTACACGTTCTTATCAGTATGAAAAAACAAAAAAATCCCGCTATTTTATTTTCGTCAGTTGTTTGGTTCAACATTTGCTACAATAAATTATTAACGCGTGTTCTAATATCACGACGATGAACGCAAAATACAGATATTTATTTTTCATAACTAATTTCTGTAGGACTTTTATTACGTTTTTTTTTTTGAAAAATTAACTTCTGTCGTAACAGTGCATATGTGGTTAAAATTTGTCGGATAAGTTGTGAAACACCATGTATTGCTTGAGTGCTACCCTAAATGTTCGTACCGATAATTGTTTAAGTTTTAAAGGAAGTATAGATAGTTGGTGATCTATACATTGCTTAGTGCCAGACAACGTGCATCAGAATTTACTGCCGCCATAATTATCTAAGAAGAAGAAGTCAAGCCCCTGTTCTACAAAATCTTTACGCGTAATTTCCCTCTCAAAGCCACGTATTAGAATTAATAACATTGCATCCATATCATTTTCTGATTTGCGTCATGCATTTTCACTGCATCTCGATCAATCGCAATTTTAATGAATTTATCCCTGAAAACCTGTTGCATAGTTAATTATTTCCACATTCCTCTCAACCTCTACACTAAATCGTTCTACAGATAATAAAATACCCGTATTTCAAGAGGTTTAAACACTTGAACTAACAATGGATTTAAATACTGGTAGACAGGTATAATGATAAAGTCTGGAGTCCTGTTTATAGATCAGTTAAATTATAGAAACATTATAATTCTATGTATGTGTTTTGTGTTAGTATCACTGAGAGGTCTTACCGACAGGAAGTTAGTGAACCTATAGATTCAATATTCAATATCCTGGAAGCTGATATTATGGGATGGAAGATGAAGTACCTTTTGCAGCAGTACGCTAATTTTTTTTCATCTGATTATTTCATGGTGTATATGTTACCGGCAATCTGTATAATACGGTAATATATACAATACCTAGGTAATGTATAGAATACCTAAAACGTGTAGGTAATGTATGAAATATTACTTGTTTTATACTTTGCCTAGGTATTCTATACAACACCGAATGAGCAGTCGGTAATGTACGAAAAAGACGAGAACAAGGAACGGGTTTTGCTTAAGGGGAAGGAGTGGCTCCCAGCAATATCAGCTGCAAAACAGCTACAAGGCAGCTACAGAACAAAACTGGAGGAGTGTGAATGGTGGTTCTCCGCAATGCCTTCCCACGCTGAAGGTTAGGATCCCCCATAAGAAAATGGACCGTGCAGCACCCAAACCGAAACAGCTAAACGTAAGGTACCACATAAGAATTGTACTACTACTCCATCAACTGGTGTTTGGGGTCTAGTATCCCAGAATTGGGAAGTTAACAAAACGACGCCCACACAATCTCCTCAGGAAAGTAAAATTAAATTAGTTAATTTTAATAAAGTTGATTTTAAATAATATAACTTGTGTTATTTGCCCGTCATTCTATAGGTATGCCGGTTAACATTGATACATTTACACCAAGATCTATTTATTTTACATATTGGCCGTGGAACAGCAGGTACTCTATACAATCTCTAGGAATGTAAGTATGTGATGGATAATAATATTCATAAAATTTCATACATTTCCTGGGCGACCCAGGAATTCTATACATTGCCTAGGTATTGTATAGAATACCTGAAGTATACAGATTACCGGTAACATATATAGAGGTGACTAAAAAACAATGTTTTCAATTTTATGTCAAAAAAGCATTATTTGTGTATTTTTTGTACATTCTTTCTTCGATCGTAACTTATTGACAGATATTAGTACAGCTAATTTTGCTTCTCTTGAAAAATGGATTTGCTGCAAAATGCGGTCTAAACCCGTCACGTCAGTTTAATATTTCTCCAAGTTTTAAGAGCAAGCGTACGGGGAGATCTATGATGCAAGATATAGCTAAAAATAATAATAATAATAATAATAATAATAATAATAATAATTAATTGGTGCTGTTACATAGAAATGTGGTTGCACAAGTTAGCTAAAGTATGTAAAACATAAAAGAGTAAGTGAAAACAACAAACAATATGTAAATGAGACAAACATAAAACACAAAGTGGCAATAAAAGCTAAATAAAGAGTTAATAAAATTAAAGTTAAAATTTAGATTAATAATACATAAAGTTACATAAAAAATTGTAAAAGAGAATAATTACAATAAAAATTATTTCAGGCTGAAAAAATTAAAGTTAAGGAAGTCTTCTACGTCAAAAAATGTTTCAGATAGTAAGAAGCATTTAATAGTTTTGTCAAATTTTTCAGCATCTAGAGATTTTAATAATTGATTTGGCAATGGGCATTAGAATTTTAACCCGTGGTACTCGTAGTTAACACCATTTGTAGTTTTGGAAAGACGATGACGATTTGGACAAATGTTCTTTGTTTCTGGTGTCGTAATTATCAGTGTCTTGATGAGATGCGTAACTTTGAGATTGAGTTTCAACATGCACGAGGCAAGCATAGATGTATATCCAATTTGATGAATTCATTCATGCAAGGATCCCTGTACCTCAAGTTTGACATGTATCTAACACATATTCTCTGTAGGCTAAAGACTCTAGACATGTGTGGAGAATGACCCCATGCCAAAATGGCGTAAGTCATTCCACTGTGGAAGTATGCATGGTAACTGGTGAGCAGTGTTTTCTGAGATACGGAATTTCTCAGATTCCCTATCAGATAGATAGCTTTTGTCAAAGATCTGGTAGCATGATTTACGGGCTCGTCCCAAGTCAACGAAGAATCAATGCAAACTCCGAGAACCTTTACTGTTCTTGTGTTGTTATCATTTCTGGCGAAATTCCTCTCAGAAAAACTCATTGTCTGAGTCAGTTCGTTAGTGATAAGCCAGTTTTAAATGTCCGCCCTGCATGCAGATGATTCGTTGTCTAGGTTTTCTAAGGTGCTGTGAGTTGAAAGAATACAGGAATAGTTTGCTTCTAGTACCGTTACTGAGACAATTTTGTATGTCATTGATGTATAGCAAGCCAAGTACTTCGTTTGAGTCTAGATGACTACTCAATTGATCCTAGAGGATGATTCCGAATGTATTGGCAAAGTATGTTATAACTGATATGAGACGATGATTAGAGACTTCGTCAACCGATCCTTCTTTGAAAATAGGTATCACTTTAGATATTTTTAGAGACGCAGCGAATGTGGTTGATCTTGAACAAATATTAATAAGCTTTGTAAAAGGGCATACGATGACATTTATTATTGTTTTAATAATCTTACTATTAAGGCCATAAAAATCAGTACTCTTAGAGTTTTTAATCGAATTGACCACGTCTCTGACT